CAGTCGGCACCCTCTGCCGCCTGGATTCTCCGAGGGCAAGGGCGGTGAGCAGTGCGTGCCGCCCGAGGACGGTCGGTACCCTCTGCCGCCAATCCCCGAAGATGAGGTCGGTGAGCAGTGCGTGCTGCCAGGGGCCAGCCGCGTAGGCGTAGACGGAGTAGCCCTCTGTGATGCCGTAGTCGCCCTGGACGGAGCTGCAGGCTCAACCGAAGTAGGCGAGGCCACCGTCAGGGTCGGAGCTGTCCCCCACCCCGAGGAGCGGGCCAGTGGGGGGGATAATGCAGGCGCCGTAGTGCCAGGCGAGGTCATGGAACTGGACGCCGATGTGGGCAGGGGGGTGTGACTATGAGGGGCTGAATCCCTCCCCCCCCTGCCCAGAATGCTGGCCGCCGTCGAAGATGACTGAGGCGGACTCTCGACATGTTGCGCTGATGTGGAGCTAACCATGGTGACAAAAAGCCAAAGCAACAGCATATCAAGCCGAGCACATTCACGCCGACGTCTTGGCCTTCTTGGCCACAGTGTCCAAGTAGCTCTGCTGAAGGCGCTTGAACTTCTCACGCACGATGTCTGGGGTGTCGCTCTCCTCGACTTGGACCCCTGCTGCACCCAGCGTCTCACGGTACTCCTGCTCGGACATCTCGATGTCAGGTGGCTCAGCGCAAGACTCATCACCATCCTCATCATCGGGGGCAGGTGCGGGTTCAGGCGGCTTGGCCTGCGGCATATTCTGCAGCTTGCTGACCGTGTTGGCCATAGCTTGCAGCTCCTTGACCATGTCGGCGCCAAGGCCGAGGCCCGATGCAACCTTGCCCAGCTGCTCCACGCTGACCGCAAAGGTGGGCAGCAAGTCCGCCAACGTCGGTGGCTGGGTGCCCTCGGGCGGCTGGACTCGCGACATGGCGGCGCGAGTCTGCTGCTCGAGGCGGAGGACCTCCGCAGCCGCCTCCTGCAACTTGGAGTCCGTGTCGGCCAGGCCTCGGGTGAGCTCGTCAATCTTCCGCTGCTGCTCGTCGCGAGTGGCCTGGATGGTAGCCTGTCGCGCACGGGCGGAGGACAGTCGTGACGCCAATGACCTGGCCTGATGCTCAATGGGCCTATCTTGAAAGAGCTCAGCATCCAACCTAGCACGCTCCTCACGCCATTTGGCCACAATATCAGCATCAGCAGGGTCAGTAGTGACCCGAAGCAGCTGGTCCAGCATCTTGATACGGCTCCTCTTGACAGTGTCGGCATCCCCAGGCGCAGCAGCCCAAGGAGGGCTCGCACCTGTACCCGTAGCCGTTGGCCCTTGCCCAGGGGGATGCTCTCGGAGCTTGGCAAGCTGCGCCTCGAGCTCCTTGACCTTGGCCGCGAGCGACTGCTGCTTGGCCGAGACGCTGGGCTGCGACGCTGCTTTGTTCTCCTTGAAACAGTTGCTCTTGTGCAGGCCGCACTTCTTGCAGTACACAAGGGTGGAGGCGTTGAACCACGGCTGATTCGTGACGTCATGCCTGCACCACTTGCAATACCATGGCGAAGCGTTCTCCTTGCGCGTCGGGGCCATGGCGGCGTCGACTTCGCAGAGACAAGCGGCGAGAGCCACGGCCCTGAGGGCAGCCTGGCCGTGGCGACAAAACTGATGAGGGAGCCCAACCCCTCGGTGAAGGCGAAAAGCTGTCGAGCGCAAGCGCTCTGGCACTGCCGCGGACTAGCGGTATCCGAGAATGCCAATACGGGCTCAGCCCGCAAAAGCATGAGCCTTGAGCCAAAATGGCTACGGAGGAGGAGGAGGAGGAGGAGGAGGAGGAGGAGGAGGAGGAGGAGAGAGGAGGAGGAGGAGGAGGGAGGAGGAGGAGGAGGAGGAGGGAAGAGGAGGAGGAGGAGAAGGAGAAGGAGAAGGAGAAGAGGAGAGGGGAGGGAGGAGGCAGGAGGAGGGGGAGGAGAGGAGGAGGAGGAGGAGGAGGAGGGGGCGGAGGAGGAGCACGAGAAGGATGAGGAGGATGAGCAGCAGCAGCAGCAGCAGGAGCAGCAGGAGAATGAGGAGAGAGGAGAGAGGAGAAAGGAGAGGAGGGAGGAGGGAGGAGGGAGGAGAGAGGAGTTAGGAGAGATGAGAGAGGAGAGAGGAAAGAGGAGGATGAGGCAGGGATGAAGTAGGAATGAGGAGTAGGCGCAGGAGGCGGAGGAAGGGCAGGAGGAGGAGGAGAAGGAGGAGGAGAAGGAGAAGGAGGATGGGGACGTGGAAGAGGATTATTGTTTAAACAGGAGGAAAAGATGTTCCCCCCTGCCTTCAACTGCAATCCGGAAAAACACTCACTCTGAGTGACGCAACGACACACAGAAGATGACAATCCGCCGACCCCTTGGAGGTCATCGGCGTGTGAGATGCTTCCCCCTCCCCAAACCCCTCCCCCGGGAGCCTGGCCCGGTCGATTTGGAGGGGGGGGGGGGGAGGCCCAGTTCGAGCTCATCCGGGGGGGGGTGGCCCGGACTCACTCCAGAGCTCCAAGACCACCCTTTCGATCTTCTCAGTAACCTCAAAGACGGTCCGAGAGAGTCCAGAGACGCGGAAATATCGCTCCAGAACGTCCAAGGTGGACAAGAACAGCCGAAAAGGCTGCCAAGGCGCTCCACGAGGCCTTTTAGAACTCCCTCAGGAATCAAAATCGTCAAATTCCCGTGGGAGAACGTATATTTTTCGCGCATGCGACTTCTCGGCCGGCCCGTCGTGGAAGACCGTCCCGCAGGCTGCCCAAAGCTGCCGGAGGACGGCCCCCCAACGGGGACACCAGAGACTCCCCAGCAGGTCCGAAAGAGTGTCTCCATCCTCCTCCATCCTCCTCCTCCATCCTCCTCCTCCTCCTCCTCCTCCTCCTCCTCCTCCTCCTCCTCCTCCTCCTCCTCCTCCTCCTCCTCCTCCTCCTCCTCCGCCTCCCCTGCAAGACTCTGAGAAGGCCCCCATACCGAATCAAGGGGTCGGCGGATGTGGCGCAAGCCTGAGGAATCGATCTATTGCATCGGGGCAAGCACAAGTTTGTCGGACGTCTGCGGATAGAGGAGGAGAAGGAGGAGGAGGACGACGAGGGGGAGGGAGTACTCTGCGAGCAGTGGAACGCGCTCGGCGGGGGACGGGCCACGGGGCGGGGGGCAGGGCGAGGCGAGGCGAACCCGCGGTGCCGCCGGGGCGGGGCCCACGTTGGCCTGCGCGGGGTGGCTGGAGCGGAGCCCTCGGTTCTCGGTGAGCGCGCTCTGGTGGTCCAAGGCATGCTGCACGAGTTCGCCTTCTGACCCCCTGCCAGGTGTCGGCGCCACATGCCACAGCCATCCGCCACTCGCAGCCAGCATCGTCGGATGCCCTCCTGCCGCTGTCGGCCATGGGCATCTCTTGACGGGCAGGGCGGGAAAACCCGAGGTCCGACAATACGAAAAAAGATGCGGCAGGGCGGAAAGCCAGCGCCGACCAGATCCCTGATGCCAGTCCCTCTGCGGTGTGTCTCGAGCCGGGTCGATCCGTGATGGCCCACGGGGCAAAGGAGGCGAGGCAGAAGCGTCCGCGGTGAAAAGAATGCGGCGCCGGGGCGTCTCAGCGAGGGGCCAGGAACGACGGCGGCGAAGGGAGGCGAGGAGGGTGAACGCGGTAGGGGGTGGGGGGCGGAGGCGCGGGCGCGGGAAGGGGAGTGGCGGCGAAGGAGGGCGAAAGCGGTGGGGGGTGGGGGGCGGAGGCGCGGGCGCGGGAGAAGAAAGGCGAGGGCAGCGGCAGCTGCAGCATCGGGACCGTCGTCGGCAAAACGGTGCGAGGGGGCTCGGCCATAGCATATGTTTCGTTAGAGAAAGGTGGGTTCAGGGGGGGGCTCTAAAACCATACCATAGCAACAAACCCTCACACGACTCGGACTCAACCGCTATGCGGGTCACAAGGTCGCCAGGCAAACCGGGAACCCCACACAAGCCGACCTGCAACAAGCAACACACATGCAGGGAACCATGACCGGCAAGAGGAAGCGAATGTGCCGCATACAGTATACGAGGAATATACGACAGAGGAAGAGGAAGCGAACATACTACGAAAGGAGGCGACGGGGAGGGGGAAGGAGACGAAAACGAAGGAAGAAAGTAATCCACAATCTGCTTCGCTTCCCCTCGAATCCATAACTCATTAACCGACACTTCAATGTCGTGAAGACCGCTTCAGTCGATACCACGGTGAAAAGAAATAATGGTGTGGTCTCCCACCTGTACTCCGCGCATGATGTCGCACAAACGGCGTTTTTCACGGCTGAATATCTGGGCCCCTTGCTTCAGTGCGGAGGAAAATGTCATCTGAAAATCTCCGAGAAACTACCAAGCCAGCCCAAGACGTCCGAAATCTTTCGAAAATAAAAGATCCGACCGTCCTCCTCCCCACCGAAAAAGAAAAAGAAGTACGAGAAGGACCAGATGGAGGAGAGAAGGAGGAGGAGAGAAGGAGGAGAGAAGGAGGAGGAGGAGGAGGAGGAGGAGGAGGAGGAGGAGCCGGCGCGGCGACAAAGGGGCAAACCCCACGTGCGCGGAAGGGCTAACTTCCCCCCCCCACGTGCGCGGAAGGGCCAACTTTCCCCCCCTCTATTCCTCCTCCCCCCGCCGTCCTCTTCTCTCCCCTCCTCCCCCTCACCCCGTCTCCTCGGGGGGGGCCTCCGCTCGCCTTTCTCTGCCTAGGGGGGGCCTCTCGTCCCTCCCTCCGCCTCCTTTCGCCGGGCGGCGGTCCGTGCGTTCGGGCCCCCTTCCTCCTCCTCCTTCGGGCCCCCCGTGGCGTCTCCCCCCCCCCTCCTCGCCCCTCGCCGGCCCCGCCCGTCGGTGCAGAGGCCGGCCCACTTTCGGAACTGCCCCGCCCGGCGCGCCATGCCGCGCCGCTGGGCGGGGGTGAGCCATGGCAGCGTCCGGGGAGACACAAATGGGAGGAGGAGGAGGGAGGAGGAGGAGGAGGAGGAGGAGGAGGAGGAGGGGGAGGAGGAGGAGGGGGAGGAGGAGGAGGAGGAGGGCTCCGTGATGCTATCGGAGTACGAGGCCATGTACCACTCGAAGATGGTCTTCACCTCGGCGCTGCCCGCGCCCCGATTCCGTTCCGCCTCGCGCGCTCCCCTCCCCCATCTAACGGGGGGGGATGTGGCGACCCCACCAGTTCCCCGACTGTGGGGGATTGGGGCCCAACCCTGGGATAGACAGTGGGGGGGCATCCATCCTCGACAGGGGTGCGTCCGAATAGCACCTGATGGGTGTATCCCAGAGTTCCTCCCCATTCCCGCACGGCTAAACTTTTCGGGCGGCACTCGGGGATCCGGGCAGAAACATCGCAAGCGACCATCCCCAGCGTCCCCGTCCGCGACTGCGTCTCCACCGCCCGTCCGCTCCGCCCCCTTGCTATCCTCCCCGCGGAGGCGGTGCCTGGAGGGACCTCCGAAGACCCAGCAGATGCCCTTTTCTGCGGGGCCCAAAGGTATACACCACCACCACCTCCCAGGAAAGAGGAGAGGACGAGGAGGGTGGAGGAGGGAGGATGAATCGACGTGGTGGTGGTATATATTCTTGGGGCCCGCATTTTCGGGGAGCAGGGAGGCGTCCCTTCAATCAGCGAGCCTCTCTTCGCTGCAGCACGGAGCCCTCCGGCAGATGACGACGCACGCTTCTGCAGCAGCTGTGCAGCGCATCGCTCGGCGCGGCCCAGCACGCAGGAGGTGGCACGAATGCTCTGCAGCAAGCCCGTACAGAGCACCATACGCTCGAAATAGAAAAAGGTAACGAGGAGGAAGACAGGGAGTCACAGGGTCTGGAAAGCAGGAGTGACTCGGGGAAAACAGCACGATGAGCACGAGGGTGAGGGACGAGGGGGAAGGGAACGGGGGGAAGAAGGGCATGAGGGCAAGCGGGGGGGACGAAGACGATGGTGAAAGATGCAGGAGGGACGAGGGAGGGAGGACGCAGCAGGCATGAGCAGGGAGAAAGAACGAGAGAGGAGGGGAACGATCACAAAAGAGTGGGGAGGAAGAAAACCGGGACCATGACCATGACTGAACGCGGAAAAGCCGTATCGATGTCGCTCAGCATCCACCTTGGTCAGCGCCGATTCGTGCATCATCCTCGCGAATCATCGGCGGCTGGCGTGAACCACGACCAAGATCGGCGTCGACAAGATCTGGCGACATGCTGGTCATGATCATCGCAATTCTCCCCTCGGCAGAAGCTGGACAGAGAATGGGGGAGGGCCCGCCTGGGAGGTGTCCACCGCCATCGGCTCGAGAGCCTGCCGCACTCCGCTCGGTCTCCCCGCCCTTGCTCTCTGCAGTCATCGTGCTCTCTCGAACCTCGAGTCCCAACGCAAGGCACGCCACACCGCCGACCTGGCGCCTCGCCCCTAGTAGCCCTTCACTACACAAGCCCCTCCTCCTCCTCCTTTTCCTCCTGCCCCTCCTCCTCCTCCTCCTCCTCCTCCTCCTCCTCCTCCTCCTCCTCCTCCTCCTCCTCCTCCTCCTCCTCCTCCTCCTCCTCCTCCTGGCGCACACTCCAAGTCCCCAAGTCCGCAGATGACGCGGAGGGACGGCGCGCGCGTGAAACTACCCTGCACACTGCACCTTGCCTAGCTCGCCTGGCCAGCTCTGCAGACCTGGGGGGAGGCGGCCATCCATGAGTTTGGACGGCACCTTCTTGCCCCAGCCTGTTGGGCGGTGGCAGGTGCCTTGCAACCCTGCGCTGATCTTCGCACTGCTGTAAGTCCCACACTTGCGACACCACCAGAGTTCACGAGTACAAGACACATCGTGGCTCTGATGAATCTGGTGAGGCCGACCTGGGCAGCGCGAGGCAAGCCACTCCAGCGTCCCACACTCCTTGGTAGGGCGCCCTCCTCCTCCTCCTCCTCCTCCTCTCCTCCTCCTCCTCCTCCTCCTCCTCCTCCCCTCCTCCTCCTCCTCCTCCTCCTCCTCCTCCTCCTCCTCCTCCTCCTCCTCCTCCTCCTCGCCGCAGCAGAGCTCGACGAACTCCAACCTCGGCCGCCACGGGGTGGGGCCGCTGCCCAGCCAGCGCGCAGCAGCGCCCCCCTGCGGGCGGCACACAGTCATCGTGCTACCACAGGGAGTGCTGAACAGGGAACGAAGGGGCGTTCCTGGCGGCGAGCCCCGGCCACGTCCGCCACCGTGCAGCTGGGCACGGAGTGGGCGTGGCCTGAGGTCCTTGGCCGCATCCCTTAAGCACTCATGCGGAGCCTTCAGAGGGGGCCGAACCTCAAATTCTCAAATCTATCGGGGCTTCTCGCGTGCCCTCTGGGCTCCCCCAAGGCCCAAGAGGCCCCAAGAGGCCCCAAGAGGCCCCTAAGAGGCCCCAAGAGGCCCCAAGAGGCCGCCAAGAGGCCCAAAAGAGGCCGCCAAGAGGCCCAAAAGAGGCCGCAAGAGACCCGGAAACGGCCACCAAGAGGCTTCAAAACAGACCTCAAGAGGCCCCCGCCAGGCTTCCCTCCCACGAGATCCAAACGAACATCCAATAAGCTCCCAGGCACGGTGGCGGAATGGATCGAAGGCCATTGGACCTGGCCGTCTTGGGGCGGTCTTGGGGGCCTCTTGGACCGTCTTCAACGCCATGAAAGGCGAAAAGGCGTATATGTTAAAAATGTACGTTTTCCTTTAGAAAATCAATGGTTTTGGCTTCTTGAGGCCCTCTTGGGACGCCTCGTGGGCGCCTCCTGGGGCGTCGTGGAAGCCTCTTGGGACGTCTTGGGGCCGCCTTGGGCGGTCTTGGGCTCTCTTGGAGCGCTCTTAGGCCGTCTTGGGCGTTTCTTGGGCCGTCTTGGGCCGTCTTGGGTGCCGTCTTGGCCGCTTCTTGTGCTGTCTTTAGGCGCCTACGACGGCCCAAGAAGCGCCCAAGAAGCGTTTTCCGATGATGTCTCGAACGAAACGCTGTTTTTAAGCCCAGAAGGCAGTCCTACTCGATAAAAAACGAAGCGGTTGGGGCCTTCTTGGGGCCGTCCTGGCGCTGTCTTGGGCCGTCTTGGCGCCTCTTGGGCCGTCTTGCCGCCCTTTGGGGCCGTTTTGGTGCCTTCTTGGGGGCCTCTTGGGCCTTCTTGGGGCGCTCTTGGGGGCCTCTTGGACAGTCTTGGACGCCTCTTGGCCCGTCTTGGCGCCCTCTTGGGCTATTTTGGGGGCCTCTTGGGAACATCTTGGGCCGTCTTGGGGCGGTATTGGGGGCCTCTTGGACCGTCTTCAACGCCATGAAAGGCGAAAAGGCGTATATGCTAAAAATGCACGTTTTCCCTTAGAAAATCAATGGTTTTGGCCTCGTGGGGCCCTCTTGGGGCGCCTCGTGGGTGCCTCCTGGGGCGTCGTGGAAGCCTCTTGGGACGTCTTGGGGCCACCTTGGGCGGTCTTGGGCTCTCTTGGAGCGCTCTTGGGCCGTCTTGGGCGCTTCTTGGGCCGTCTTGGGCCGTCTTGGGCGCCGTCTTGGGCGCTTCTTGGGCTGTCTTAGGCGCCTAAGACGGCCCAAGAAGCGCCAAAGAAGCGTTCTCCGATGATGCCTCGAGCGAAACGCTGTTTTAAAGCCCCCAAGGCCGTCCTACTCGATAAAAAAACGAGGCGGGAGGGCAATTAGATCTCGGGCCCCCCGATGCCAACCCCCTCGAACTCCCCCAAGTCCAATTTCTTCCGACTAACGGACCGCACGCTAACGCGCGCTTTCCGTCATCTCGGGCCCCCCGATGCCAACCCCCTCGAACTCCCCAAAATCCAATTTCTTCCGACTAACGGACCGCACGCTAACGCGCGCTTTCCGTCATGCCAACCCCCTCGAACTCCCCCAAGTCCAATTTCTTCCGACTAACGGACCGCACGCTAACGCGCGCGTTCCGTCATCCGGGGCTCGCGATGCCACCCCCCTCGAACTCCCCCAAGTCCAATTTCTTCCGACTAACGGACCGCACGCTAACGCGCGCTTTCCGTCACCTGCTTGGCACGGGGACGGAAAGCGCACTTACTTTCAGAACGCACGAGATCGCTGGCTATTGACTCCCTTCCCCTCGCTCTTGTCCTATCTCAGCCTCGGAGAGTCGCGGAGTTTTCTTTGAGCGCGTTTCTTGTTTTGGAGGGGGCGGTCGGGTCGCGTTGCGTTTTCCGCGTTTGGGCTGCCAGCTTTCCAGAACCCCGCGTTTTCCTTGCGTGGACCGCTCGTTGTCCACGCGTTGCCGCCCGTCCCTGTGCCCTGGCGTCAAGAACTTATTACGTCGCAGCTCTCGGTTGGGAGCTTTGGTCTTATCAGCTCGATTACGTCACCGCTCGCTCTTGGGAGCCGCGGTGCTAAGAGCCTTTGGGAGTATTTTGGGCCTCTTGGGGGGCTCTTGGGGAGCCTCTTGGGTGCCTCTTGGGGACCTTTTGGGGCTTTTCGGGGGCCTCTTGGGGCCTCCTGGGAGCTTCTGGGCTGCGGGGGTGAAGGGACTAGGCTGCCTTTGGCCGTCTTTGGGCTCTCTTGGGGGCCTCTTGGGGCCTTCTTGGGGCCGTCCTCCGTCTTGGGCCGTCTTGGCGCCTCTTGGGCCGTCTTGGCGCCTCTTGGGCCGTCTTGGGGGCGCCGCTCTTGGGGGCCTCTTGGACAGTCTTGGACGCCTCTTGGCCCGTCTTGGCGCCCTCTTGGGCTATTTTGGGGGCCTCTTGGGAACATCTTGGGCCGTCTTGGGGCGGTATTGGGGGCCTCTTGGACCGTCTTCAACGCCATGAAAGGCGAAAAGCCGTATATGCTAAAAATGCACGTTTTCCCTTAGAAAATCAATGGTTTTGGCCTCTTGGGGCCCTCTTGGGACGCCTCGTGGGCGCCTTCTGGGGCGTCGTGGAGGCCTCTTGGGACGTCTTGGGGCCGCCTTGGGCGGTCTTGGGCTCTCTTGGAGCGCTCTTGGGCCGTCTTGGGCGCTTCTTGGGCCGTCTTGGGCCGTCTTGGGCGCCGTCTTGGGCGCTTCTTGGGCTGTCTTAGGCGCCTAAGACGTCCCAAGAAGCGCCCAAGAAGCGTTTTCCGATGATGTCTCGAGCGAAACGCTGTTTTTAAGCCCCGAAGGCCGCCCTACTCGATAAAAAACGAGGCGGGAGGGCAATTAGATCCGGGGCTGGCGATGCCACCCCCCTCGAACTCCCCCAAGTCCAATTTCTTCCGACTAACGGACCGCACGCTAACGCGCGCTTTCCGTCATCCGCCGCCCCCTGTTGATTCATCACAGGGGTGCCTGGCGTGCTGGACCCTCTCAGGTTTTGGTTTTGGCTCTTTTTCCAAAAGGACTCCCCCTGGGGCTCCGGCACGTCCCGCCGGCCACCCGGAAGGCCCCCAATTCCCCAATTTTTCCTCCAAGACGGCTCAAGATGGTCTCCAAGATGGTCCAACATGGCCTGCCAGTCCGACAAAGATGATCCAAGATGGCCTCCAAGTGTTGGTGAAGGGGCCCTGTGACACACAAATGAATACACACAAACACACACACACACACACACACACACACACACACACACACACAAATAACAGGATTCGCCATATTTCCCCATAGTTTCTGGGTTTTGTCTTCCCCCCCACTCCCTAACGTTCCCCCCTTTTCTGGGGAATCGACGAACAATTGTGTCTGTGTGTTTTCGTCCCTCCTGAGTGTTGGCACGACATCGGGCCGGACTTCTGCTCGGGCCGAGCGGTTCCGCAGTGCGCCGCGGCACTGCGGCGCTGCGCCCGCGGCACCCCGGGGGCGGTGCCCGCGCGCGGGGCGGTGCCTCGTGCCTCGTGCCTCCGTCTGTTCGGGGAGGCTCACGCCCTCCTCGCCGGCCCATGGGCCTAGGCTTTACGTCGGGCCTGGCCCTCGACAGGAGGAGCATTCCAAAAGAAGCAAAAATGAAGGGGCCCTGGGACACACAAATAAATACACACAAATAAAAGGATTCCCCATATGTTCCTATATTTTCTGGGTTTTTGTCTTCCCCCCCACTTCCCATATTTTCCCATATTTTCCTGAGAATCGTCGATGAATTGTGTCTGTGTGTTTTTCCCCCTCCTGAAAAAAGCAGTATGGGAACGAGGTTTGGAGTGTTTTTTGTTTGGGCTCTGTTCGAGGACTTTTGAGGTGTGATGCAAAATGCCCCCTGTATGGGGGACAGGCCCGACCGAAACCTGAGCCTGAGCCTGACCCCGAACCTTGGAGCCCGCAGAGCAGGAGCCACGGCGGGCCCCCCCACAGGGGAAAAGTCGCCCGCCGACGCGGGAGACTGCCAGCGTTCGAGGGCGGTGGCTCCCACGAGGGTCGGTGCCCATCGCTGCTGCTTGGCGTCGAGCCGTCTTGCAGGCTGACTACCTACCAGACCACCCCAACCCAACCCGAAGACCCCAATTTCGGGTTGGGGGGGGTACGGGCTCCATGTGTGCTTTTTCAGTGTTCCCCGACCCCCCCCAACTGGAAATAGAGGGCAAATTGAGGCCTTCGGGTTGGGTTGGGGTGGTTTGGTGGGTGGTGAGAGGCCACTGGGGGGGAGGGGGGGGGCAGTCTTGGGGGCCCACTGAATGAATGTCGGGCCCATGGGCACGAAATGGGCTGTGCCGAATGGAAGGCTCCCTTGAGCCGTCTTGGGGGTCAGCTGAGGGCCCCCTTGGGGTCCATGAGGCACGAAGTACGTGCAGGGCGTGCCGAATCGAGACTCCTTTCAGCCGTCTTGGGGGCCAGCGGATCGCCCCTGAAGCCCGCGGCGCACGAAATGTGTGAGAGGTGCGCCGAATTGAGGCTCCACGGAGCCGCCTCGAGGACCAGCCACGAGATGCACGAAATGCAAGAGGCGTGTGCAGAATGGAGGCTCCAAAAGGGGCATGGAAGGCCCACTCACTCGGAATTTTGTTCATCACAGGGGCTTCGAAGCGCAAACCACTTGCATCTCTACGTGCCCGAAGAGCTCGAGAAGGCAAATTATGTGTATTCCTACGTGTCCCGGAAGAATATGGCCCAAGCACCGCAGTGCCAGCCAGCGACGGCACCGGCACCGGCACCAGCCCCAGCACCAACCAGCACCAGCACCAGCGCCGCCACTGGCACCAGCACCGGCACCGGCGCTGGCACCGGCACTGGCACTGGCGCCACCGCTGGCGCCGACACCAGCACCAAAGCTGGCACTGGCACCGACACCAGCACCGACGCACCAGAGAACCAGCGCTGGCGCTGGCGCCGACGCCGACACGGGCTCCAGCACTGGCCTTGGCACCGGCACCGGCAACGGCACCGGCACCCGCGCCGGCAGTGGCAGCGGCACCGGCTGGCGCCAGCACCAGCACCAGCGCCGGCACTGGCACTGGCACTGGCACCGGCGCCAGCACCGGGCAAGAATCGTTCATGCCTTGCATGGGGGGCTGCCTGAGCGCAACCAAAGGCAGCATGGGGGCTGCCTGTGCGTACCTCAAGGCATGCCAAATGTGAACCCTATCCCTTCAGGTCATCTTTCTGAAATGCCAGCTGGAGGTCCGAATTTGAAATACGTCTGCACCCAAGTGCATCCCAGCGGTGGTGTCTGATACTCTGGCGTCGAAAGGACCCGCAGGGGGGACGCTCGCAAGGCTTCGCAGACGTGCGGAACGCAGAAGCGCTGAATCAAAAGCTGAGAGGGAACGCTAGGGAGGGCACCAGGGGGAAACATCGAGCTGGAGTCGGCGATACATCGCCGAAAGATCGGGGATAGGCCCCCGAGAGGGAATCCGCACGTTCCTGGACAGGTTAGGCTATCAGGCCCCGATCGAAGATGAATCGGCCATTGGGGGTCGATGTTCCCCTGGAGGGCGGAAACTGCCAAAGAACGCCCGCCGTGATTTTTCCACGACGCAAGGACGCTGGGCTTCTGGGTCGTAACTCGGGTCACGGGCGGCCGCTCGGGACCGACCAAGGCACCCCCAGCACGCTCTCGGCAAGGCGCAGCTGCCGGAAAGCACCCCGAGGCCAGAAGACCGCAGGGAGCCGACGAGAACGTCCGCAAACCTCGAGCCTCGAAACCAGCGCTGCCCCTCGAGAGCTCGAGGACGCTCCAACCCTGGTCAGCGCAAACCCGTGTCAGCCAGGGCCGCGTCGCGAGCCCAGGCCGGCCATGAGGTAGCTGCCAAGCTTCGGCGAGCGGAGGGCGGCAAGGGGGCATCGGCCCCGCGTGGCTCCCAAACCCGGGTCCGCCAGATGGGACTGGCTGACCCCCGTCAGCGCTGAATTCCTGAACCCCGTCGCGCGAGCGTCTCGGGAGACCTCCCCGTCCGCCCTCCGCCGGGGCGAGGCGTGGCGGAGAGCACCAGGAGGCCAGAGGACCGCTGCGAGCCGGCGAGGAACGCCCGAGAAGTGAGCCGACGAGGAGAGCGGCCGACCCCCGTCAGCGCCGGCCCCCGTCGCGGGAGCCCCTCGAGAGGCCTCCCCGCCCGCCGCCCCGGGCGAGGAGCCCTGCAGATGCCCCGGATGTCGTCCGAAATGCCCTCGAGGACCTGGCGCGCGTGCGGCCACCGGAAGGGCTCTCGAGGGCCAGGCGCGTGCGGCCACCGAGAGAGCCTCGAGGCCCTCGTGGGTCCGAGGGCCCTCAACGGGAGGCAGAGGGCCATGCTTAAGACGAAGCCGGGACGAAGATGAAATTGTTCCCCATATCATAAGATGGGTGTCTTGTCCTTACTTTCACCACGCCGGAAGCACAGTCACACCCACACCTCACTTATGGTATGTTATGCGATGGCATGCCATGATATGTTGTAGTATGTGAAAGTATGTAGTGGTATGTTATGTCATGCTATGATGTGTGGTGATGGTGATGATGATGCTGGTGATGATGACGATGATGATGGTGGTTGTGATGATGATGGTGATGATGACGATGACGATGGTGATGCTGATGATGATGGTGATGATGATGGTGGTAGTGGTGGTGATGATGATGACAATAATGATGATGCTGATGCTGATGCTGATGCTGATGCTGATGCTGATGCTGATGCTGATGCTGATGCTGATGCTGATGCTGATGATGGTGGTGATGGTGGTGGTGATGGTGGTGGTGATGGTGGTGGTGGTGGTGATGGTGATGGTGATGGTGATGGTGATGGTGATGGTGATGGTGATGGTTGTGAAGAGTGCACTCCCCTGCCCCTCTGCCGCCCGTGCCACCGTGTGTGCATGATGTACACGCTTGTCTTGTTTTGTGGCATGCACGCTGCCCGCCGCTGTTTTGGCCCTAGTCCTAGGGCCCTGGGACGCACCCGCAGTTTTGACTGCCGCGCAGTCCGAGCTAAAAGAACTGCACTGACATTGGTAGCGGAGCTAGTAAGCTCCAGCGGACGCACTGCGTGCTCTGCTTCGGTGGTTGTGACCACCCGCGTGGGCCGCCATGGCCGCCAGCCAAGACGGCTCAGACGCGGAGGCTGCGTCCTCCGCTGGCACAGGTCCCCCGGACCTGCATGCGGTCCTGCGCGTGATGGCCGAGACCCAGCGGGAGCTCTTGGCCTTGCATCGGGATCGTAGTGGCGACGGCGGTCCCAGACGGCACGTCTACTGCTGTCGCAGGTGAAGCTCCCAGAGTTCGATGGTGCAGTCGGTACGAGTACTAAGAAGTACCGAGAGTGGCGCAAGGAGGTTGAAGTCATCCGCAACCTCAACCAGCTCTCAGACGTGGAGCTGGGCCTGATCATCTACAGTCAAGTAACAGGTCGAGCCAAGGAGCTCATCGAGGTCCTTGATGCGTCGGACCTCCGACGCGAGGACACGCTCGAGACCATCTTTGCTATCTACGACGACGCCTTCGAGAAGATGGATCACGAGCGCCTCGATCAGGTGCATCAGGAGTGGGAGCGAGCACACCGTCGAGCTGGGCAGCCCATCATGGATTGGACAACGTACTTGCGCAAGAAGCGCATGGAGCTGCAGCTCGAGGATCCTACTTCAGCGATCAGCGATCGCGCGCTGGCGAGCAAGATGCTTCGTGGCGCTGGACTGTCGCAGAAGGAGCGAGCGCAGGTGCTCTTCAACTGTGGCGGCATCTACGACTCGAAGCGGATGGAGGTCGTGCTGAAGGCAGCCTACTCGAAGGTGCACGACACCGAGAAGCGCTCGGTGCTCCCTCGCCGCTCGCCGTTTGTGGCGCAGCGTGAGCACGGGCGCTCCTCCGGGAGTTCGGGCGGTCGCTATCCGCACCCTCCCATGGCTCGCAGGCCATGCGTGCTGCGAGGACGCTCCGGCCAGCATGTGCACGAGGTAGAGAACGGTGAAGACTACGATGAACACCACGGCGACCTGGAGGAGGCGCAGCACGACGAAGATGAAGCAGATGAACAGGACGATGGAGACCCCGGAGCTGGCGAGGGGATCATCTTCGAGGACGGCGCTGAGGTCGAAAAGGAGCTGGCGTCGGACAACGACGGGCCAGATGACGAGGAGTACGAGGCACCGGAGGATCTTCAGGAAGCGTTCTTGGCCGGCTGGAGGGCCAAGCAGAAGACGGCAGTACAGCGTCAGAAGCGCGGGTTCGTTGCCCCTCGGCAGCGGGACCCCAAGAAGATCAACGCCAGCGGCTCCTTCCAGGCTGGTCGGAAGCCGACGGACCAGCGCAAGGCTAACAGCCGGTGTGCTGACTGCGATCAGCCCGGCCACTGGCGTGGCGACCCAGAGTGCCCCAAGGTGAAGAGTGGCGAGCGCGAGCCGTACAACAAGATCGGGCCTAAGAGTGGCCAGCCAGCGTCGCCCAACCAGCGGAGCTCTGTGAAGCCGCCGGCGCCTAGGCAGGTGCATGGACCGATCGTCCACTGGGTTGGCATGGCAGGCAGTGCCGAGGAGCGTCGTGGCCGCGCTCCATGGCGCCGTGCTCCCCAGTCGGTGCCTGCCCAGAGGCATCCGGTGGAGGGTCGAGCTGATGCTCCAGGGCGGATCGTCATGAATCCCAGACCCAAGAGCATGCCTGCGCCGAGCCTACGCCGGGACGCCGACGATGGCCCAGGGCCCGCACAGAGCAGTGAGAACGTGCGCGCGCCCGTGCCAGGCGCGGGGAGGATCAGGAGGACGAGGATGCATGCGTGCGTTGCCATCGCATTCTGGCCAACACCCACCCAAAGGGGCACAGCGTGGAGTTGGAGTTTCCTGACCTTGCCACGGTCCATCACATCGTGGAGCGCGTGACGAACAAGAAGCCTATCTTCTTCAAGCAAGGCCGCTTCGAGAGCCTCGACTTCGTCCAGGGTCGGCTCATGCGTCTGCAGCTGACCACGTCGAAGCCTTGTGCGGCGGCTGAGGTGGATCTCGACGAGATCACGGCAACTATGGTCAAGATCGTGATGGGCGGCAATCGTGATACCAAGCCCCGTGACGATCGGCGCGGTGAAGGCGGGAGTCGTGACACCAAGCAGCGTGAAGATCATCATCGAGATCGTCGTGACGACCGCCAGCGTGATCGGGGAGCTGTTCTCCGTGAGCATCGTGCCCCTCCTCCACCCGAGGCGGAGGCCTCCTCGCGTTCAAGGTCGCGGAGTACACCAGAAGGCCGCGGTGTGAAGGAAGAGAAGCGGAGTCCACCAGAAGACCGCGGTGAGAAGGAAGAGAAGGAAGAAAAGAAAGAGAAGAAGAAGAAGGCGAGGAGCAGCAAAGAAGAGAAGAAAGAGAGAAAGAAGGCAAGAGGCAGCAAGGAAGTGAAGAAGGAGGATGAGGCCAGCGAGGAGGATGAGGCCAGCGAGGACGACAACGACCAGCAGCGTGAGGATAAGGAGGTGCCGTTCACGCCGGAGGAGATGGATGAGATCTTCTGCAGCTGGTATCCGCGTCAGGACATCTTTAGGGATTACCTGACGCCGCCGGCAACCATCCACTTCATCACGAAGAACGACCGCATCGTGCGCCTCAACCTCTACACGCGCCGCTGCGAGAAGCCGGACTTCTCTCCAGCCAGTGGCCCTGCGAGGGCCTATCCTGTATTCGTGGTGGATACCGCGGCGGCGGCGTCGGCGAAGGGAGCATCGAAGACTAAAGGATCCCCAGACGGAGCTGTGCCTGGGCTAACGTCTGCCGCTCCGACTGGGGAGGCCGCCGCTGTTCCTAAGGACGAGGACTGGGTCATGGCAGGAGCCTCCGAGGACGTGAGAAAGAGCGAGGAGAAGAAACGACTGGAGGTCTTGCAGCGTGACAAAGCCGAGTTACTGGACCGACTCGCGCTGATAGAGAAACAGGAGATGGAGATGCATACCCGATTGAACCCAGGCGAGGTCTACGACGGCCTGCAGAAGCGACGTGAGCAGGCACCTCTGCCAGAGCGTGTCCTGCCTACATCTCCTGAGCAGCAGGGAGTCGGAAGCGTGTGGATGAACATGGAGGGAGTTCGACGACGTGTTCATCTTCCCGCGCCTCCAGGAGCCGCGAGCTCAGGTGCCCCTGCCGCTGCGACGGCATCTCCAGCCGCATCTGGAGCCCCGCGCGTAGTCACCGCCTTTGGACGGAGCTACGTCATGAGTGTCGGTGCCACGCAGAGCGACCTGGAGAAGCAGCAGATGCACCGAGCCATGTACGACTCGCAGTTCGACGGCGAGAGGCTGGTCCCAGGTCCGAAGGCGAAGTTCGACCCAGAGCTCATGCAGCAGCAGGCTGCGTGTGTTCATCCGGTGGGCGAGCTGAAGTGGCAGTCAAACGGCACCGTGATCTTCGCGAAGTGCAAGAAGTGTTCGTTGAAGTCGGTGATCCATTACACGCTGGAGAAGCCCAAGACGGATGAAGGGGAACCTCCCAGGAACACCCCAGACGGAGATGTGCCAGGACTAACGTCTGCCGCTCCGACTGGGGAGGCCGTCGCCGTTCCAAAGGGCGCGGACCCCTGGGCAGCAAAGCACGCGGACCCCTGGGCAGCAAAGGGCGCGGACCCTTGGGCAGCAAAGGGGGGATCTGCGGCCCACATGGTCACTACCCGAGAGGAGTGCCCCCGCAAGGTGGTAGACGAGCAGCCTGTCATGCTTGTTGTCTTGCCCGCGGGGCTGGCTATGATTGACACGGGCTGCAAGCGGGCTGTCGGTGGACGTCCGTGGCACGTCGAGCTGCAGAAGACTTTGGATGCCATGGGCGTGCCGTACCACAGCATCAACCAGCGCGAGTACTTCAAGTTCGGCCCAGGCGTGCCGCTCTTGTCAGAGCGTGCGTGGTGCTACACAGTTGGCATCAATGGTACGCAGGGCGAGGTTGTGATCTCCGAGGTCGATGCCGAGGTGCCAGGTCTCATCGGTCCTGATGAGATGGCAGAGTGGGACGCAGCAATCAGCTTCAGGAACGGTACTTTCACGGCGAACGGTGTGACCAAGCCGTTGGTCCCGGCTGCGTCCGGGCATCCGTGCGTGTCATTGCTGGATTTCCCGGCACCGGTCGCGAGCGCCTTCCCCGTCGGACAGTCAGAGGAGCAGGACGAGCTCGCAGACGAGATGTTCAGCGGAACTGCGAGCCACGAGGAAAAGGATGAGCGCAGCGTCGCTGAGAC